GCACGTCTGCAACACCCCACGTGTGCAACATCCACGTGTGCAACAGCCCACGCACGTGTGCAACACACCACACATGCATGCAGCAGTCTGTGCATGTGTGCAGCAGCTGCGTGTGCAACACTGCATGCATACACATGCATGCAATAACCCCTGCGTGCAACACCCCATGCACGTGTGCAACACCCTATGCATGTGTGCAAGGCACCTCGTGTGCAACATGTGCAATACCCTGTGCATATGTGCAACACCCCACACACATGTGCAACACCCCACGCATGCAACAGTCGTGTATGCAACACCCTGTGCATGTGTGCAACACCCCAAGCGTGCAATACCCCATGCACACGTACAATGCCCCACACATGCAACACCCACGTATGCAACACCCCATGCGTGCAACAGCCACATGCGCAACACCCCATGCAAATGGGTGACACCCCGTGTGCAACGGTCGCATGTGCAATGCCCTGCATGCGTGCAACACTCCTTGCATGTGCCAAACCCATGCATGTGTGCAACCAACACCCTACGCGTGCAACACCCCCGTGCATGTGCAACACCCCATGCACGTTGCAACACCTGCATCTGTGACACACCTGCACGTGCAACCGTTACCGTGTGCAACACCCCGTGTGCTTGAGCAACACCCCATGCATGCGCTTGAAGCCCAGGACACTCGCTGTGTGTGTATTTGCACACCTGGCTGTGCGTGCACACCCTGCTCTTGCACACGTGCACAAACACAGAATGACACAGGACACACGCGTGTGCACGCAGGTGTGTCAGGGTGGTGCAAAGGCACATGGCTGCGGCTGCTTGGGGCATGTGGGTTTGCACCCGTGTCTGCGTGTGCATGCACACTGTGGGCTTGCACACGTGTGTGCACAGCGCACACTTGTGTGCATGCATGCGCTGCAGCATGGTGCACTCGTGCCTGGCTCCAGCTGCTCAGTGCATGCAGATTTGCACCTGTGTCCACGAATGCATGCACACCAGGTCCTTGCACACTCATGCACATGTACATAACAGTGCCACGCACACGCATGTGCGTGTGGCACGCTGCATCCGTGTGCACATGCATTTCCAGCAACACTCTTATGTATCGCTCCAGACTCTCGCTGCATGCAGATTTGCACCCATGCATGAGCGTGCATGCACACCTGGCCCTTGCACACTCACACAGAAATGCACAGCAGTGCATTGCACACGCGTGTGCATGCACTGCACCAGATCCCCCATGCACACACCTTTGCAGCAATGCTCTTGTGCCTCGCTCCAGCCACTCGTTGCATGCAGATTGCACCCGTGCACGAGCGTGCAGGCA